ATTTCTCTAAATAATCGATCATATTCTTCAATATTACTACTGTATATAACAATGTCGTCCATATAAATTTCTACCCCTTTCCCTTTTAAATCTTGAAAGATATTATCCATAATCCTCTGCAATATTTGTGGCGAGCTTTTACATCCCATGACCATTGAATTCCATTCGTACACTTTTCTATTGAACTCAAATGCAGTCTTAAACTTATCCTTCTCTCTTATCTCAATATTATAAAATCCACCTTTAAGATCTACCACCGTCATAACTGTTGCACCTTGCATTGCACTAACTACGTCTCGTATATTCGACAATTGATATTCGTCTTTTTCTACTAATCGCTTAATGCAATCAAGTTACATACCAATCTAATACTTTCATTCGACTTTCTAAGTGCCCTAACCGGATTTCTCCAAGTCGATATAAATCTTCTTATATTCCTTTTTTTAAATTTCCCAAATGTATCACCGTATCCTTTATCCTTAATTAACGCCTGCGGGACAGTCTGTTACTTCTTAAAAACCTTCTTTCCTTCCTCAGTTATAATTTTACATTTTTCTAGTTTACAACAGCTTATCTTACTATCATCTTCAACCAAAACTTCTCTAAATTCTTCTGTATAATCCTCTAAATTGAGCTTCTTCCTTTTGCTTCCTACTCTACTCTCATAAATGATTACTGGCTTACTTATTTTGATTCTACCCTTTTCGGTCTTTTTATAGCCCCTTTCATTTATAATTTCAGAATCACCTTCGGCTTCGCCGTCATAAATAAAATACTTAGAATCACTTTTGTTAATATTATATCCTTCCTTAGCCTTCCTCCAATAGCAACTCCTGGCCACGTGTCCAGATCTGTCGCAGTAAAAACATCTCCTTATAGAAACACCACCCTCTCTTTTATGATTCATCATTGCTTCTTTGACCGTAGTAATTACTTTTTCAGTTAAATTTTGTAAGTCCATAGCTCTCTTCTTTTCCTCCTCTCTAACTTTCCTTATTAACTTCTTTCTTAAATCTTCAACTTTTTCTTCCTTACTTACATTTCTAACCATAAAAATTTTTTAAGATCTGCTCGCCCTCTCAAAAATCTCTTTCTTCCAGAACTCTTCCTCAACCATTTCTAATTCCAAAGCATACATCAAAATCTCTAGCTCTTCTAGCCCCCTGGCCACAGCCATCACTTGACAACTCAACTGTTTGTATCGCCCCCATATTAGTGCTTAACATAATTAGGGTTTAATAAAATAATAAACTATAACAGCCTATTAAAAATGTTTAGATTTTAATTTTTTGTAGCCAATCATTTTTTAAAAAATTATAATATTTTTTTTAAAAAAACAAGGGTGGGGTTGAAATATGTAATAGCTCCAAAATGTCGACGTTTAAAATTTGTAACAAAAACGCGATATGCGGCCCCGTGCTTGTGTGCGTGCTGGGCTTGCGACATTGAATAATTTTGTCTCTTGGGTTTTATTGGTACTTAATATTTATATACACCAATTATTTGATTTCGATATTCTTTAGCCATTTATTCCCGTTTCCACCTGCAATCTCTTTTTAAAACACCCACAGTTGAGTCTTCTTTCGATAACTGCCTACATTTAATTTTTTTTAAAAAAGGGTAAAATATTATAAAAAAAATAATAATTTTTAAATTTTTTATTTGAAGCTTAGTGTTTTCTTTTGTATTTGACTTATTGCTTCAGTAGCACCACTAAACAAATATGGTGATAGACCCGGCTCTCCCCCATTTTCTGGTACATTTATGTCTCCTCTTCTTCGGTATTCCAACGAGATATTCTCAAGAGTCTTCTTAAGTGTCACCGGTTGAATGTAGGCCTCAACAATTCTGTCTGAAACATCTAGCCTCTTTCTGTACTTTGTATGATATTTGGTAACTATACCGTCCCATGTTAGCACATAGAGGAATATTTTCGTCTTACATCCATATATTAATCCCAACTCATTGGCCAGAAGGTCGTATTTTTTTTAATTTTTCCGTTTCTACTTGATGCAGGTTATCTATAGAAGTGATACCTATTTATAAAATAAGTATCTCCTTTGACTTCTTGTCTATAACTACAATGTCTGGTTTATTATTTTAATCTTGATGTCTATTTTAATTGTAGTGTCGACTCTAGTTTACGAATCTATTAGCCACGACCCTCTGTACTGAACAGGTTCTATGAGTCTTACCTGGCTGTCCAATCTTGTATTTCTTGCATAAAAAATAATAATTTAACAAAAAAATAGTTTTTTTGCCCATGTAGACATAGCTATCGAAAAAAAAGCAGCTATGTTTAGCTTTGCAAGTCCCTCGATTGCTACCCATCATTATGTTTTTTTTCTTATATTCTTTTTCTACCACCACCCATAATCTAACCTACCTACTTATCTAAGCTAACCCAAATCTAGCCTATCTACCTACTCATATAAGATATATATATATATTTAATATTATTTAAATTTTTTTATGTACCTTACTTTTGAATATATGCATAAAACATAATACTCAAATCCCTCTAACGAATATAGTGCACTTGATTTATCTCCTCATGCTTGATACAAGTCGTAGTTAAATCAATCATTTTTTTGTTTGTATCCGACTCAACATTGCAAGTTATAAAGCTCTGCTTCTAGACGCATATGGGGTCCATATCCAACGGAGACCCGTTCTCTTGGGCGGACCAGGTATTATCGTTGAAGTTGGCGAGGGCGTTTTATCAAGATCCGGAGTTTTTTCGTTGCCCACAACCGCAGATGATACTATATTCTCGATACGGTTTGAATACTCGGCGGTATTGATAGAACACCCCCAGCGATTTTTTTTTCTCGCAAGGGTTGAAAATAGAACCATTGACAACATACCGCAGCTATGCATAAGACTATCATTGATAGGAGCGTTCTTTACGCGGATGAATGTTCGTCGTATCCGTCTACTGCTTTTGCGTTAGGAGTCGAACACTGCTGGGTAAATCATTGTGTATGGTTTAGAGGAGACAATGGTACACGTACAAATACCATGGGGGATTTAGAAAACATGAAAAACTCGATGAGAAAAGAGCATGGGATAAATCTCAATCATGTTGATGATTGGCTAATAAAATATACTTTCAATGGGCGGCATGAAATAAATAAAAGCAATTAAGAATTTTCTGAGTTATATATTGAAATTCTAAAAATCTTTTTTGAAATAAATCATAAAAATATTTTTTTAATTTTTTTGCCCCCAAAAATTAAATATAGGCAATTATCGAAAGAAGGCGCACTTGTAAATGTTCTATACTTTTATCAAGGCAGGCCGTTTTTTTCGGCCGGGAACAGTAAAAACGGACGGCCACTAAATTTCTTCAAATTTGAACAAATCATGCCAGGAACACAAATTTAGTCAAAGGAGTACATTCATTAAATTAGAGATATTAAAAAGAACCTAAACATAAAACATCTTAAAGAGTTTGAAAAAAATACCATAAATAGAGGATGGTCTGATGCGTAGAAAGACAAAATATATATAGGTTGGTTTGTATTTTTACCTTTCTTTTTTAATCAAGAAAAAGTATTTTTTAACTCCCAATTATAAGAATACAAGAGTTTAGAAAATTCATTTACAAAAATGAAGAATTAGTAAGGTTTCTTCTTAAACGAAACATTTTCAGAGTTCCAATTTGCCAGCCAATGCGGTAGGACCCAGATCAAAGTCAAGACAAGTTCTTTTGAATACAAGTGTTATTTGTGCCGTAATTTAAAGAAATGTTCTAACAATGGTTGTTGCCAAAGGGAAATCTCTTTCAAAAGGCGAAACTAAGTCTTAAAGCCACATCAATCCCACTATGCGAGTGAGTAAAGAGATCTTCAAATAATGATTGTACAGTCGAGCCTGATTTTCACACGTATGCCATCTCTAGGTAGTGTTCTCGTTTAAAAATGCTGTATTTGACTGAATTTTTAATAACGTTCAGCACCAGTCAATAGGAGGAAGAGACTGTATAGTCAAAATCGACGAAAAAGTTCTTGTTAAAAGTAAATATTCCGAGTTCATCTATTACAATATCAAGTATGAGCAGTCGATGATGTAGTCTGAGGTGATGCAAGTATTTTTTTGAAATAGAAGAAAATAGACAAAGGTGTACTTTGGCAAAGTTAATTATAAAAAAGATAGCACCAAGATCTATTATTATAATAATTGCTGGCGAGACAGTCTTGATATAGCCAATATCTGTGCCGATGTTGGATATACTCATGAGAAGTGGAACCATTCAGTATTTTTTTTGGATAACGTTTCTGGCGCACATTCCTGGACCATTGAATAACAGCATAGCCCCGTGGTAATAAAGGGGGAACTTAGAAAAGAGGGGACAGCTAACGATACGTTTGATAGATCTGGTGAGTAAAATTTACATACGCCGTTTTTAATTATTATAAACGGAAAATCTACTTAAAAAAATGCTTGATTTTTTAAAATTTGATAATAGTGCTCGACTAATAAACCAAAATTTAGACGAAGGAGACCTTATTATCTTGAAAACAAAGAGTAAGTATAATAAATGTCACAGTCTATGGGAACTGGACGCCATGGCGTCCAGTCCCTATAGACTGCTTGATAAATAGCCAATCAATTTGTAATAAATAAAAATATTTGAATACCCTCCCTCCTCTTCCCCATTTAAAATTAGATTTTTTAAAATTTTTTTATACCCCTATGTATATTGATTTGACAAACTCAGAAAGGGAAGAGACCTGAATTTCCTGGCCTTCTAAATTATACCATTGTCGCTTTAGAGCAGCGCAAAGGTAGATACTTTTAAAGAGGGTAGAGAAAATTTGTGTTAATTCATTCTGCCCTCAAATGAATTAAGATTCAAAAAGGCGGGTAGGTTAAAGCACCTCAAATTTACAATTTTTTTGACTACCCTCGTTTTTATGCTTTTTATCCCTTTATTTTAAAGTGCTGCACACAGAAGAAGAAATAAAAAAAAAATCATTTTAAAATGACTTTTTTTATTTAAATTTTTTTTCTAGTTCTTCTTCAATATTTTTTTAATTAATTAATTGTTTACAAATATATCAAATGTAGTTATTTAAAGACACAAGTACTAGAGAGTAAAAGATTTAAAAATATATTTTTAAATATCTATAAGATAGAGAGCAGTACAACAATTTACTTACCTCACTATTTTCATTATTTCGACATAGCAT